CATGTGTGTGTGTGTGTGTGTGTGTGTATGTGCACACAAGTGCACATGCATGTACTTACAATAAAAAATAGCAACCCTATAGCACTCAAAGAACTTACACACACCATTAGACATAAAGAATGCACATCTGGGGTCAATACAAACTGGGTTTGCTTGGTTTAGCTTGCTAGTTATTGTTGTCAGTTCTGCTGTGGTCAATACACAGTATTGATGACGTTGCATCCCTACTGTTGTGATGTTGGGTTTTAGTGCCATTGCTGGAACTTGAAGCTCAGGCCCTGGGCCCTGTCGCTTAGCTTTTACATTCAAGGCTGGAGCTGTACACTTGAGCCACTTCAGGCTTTTTTCTTTTTTCTTTTTTTGGCTGGTTAACTGGAGATAAGACTCTCATAGACTTTTCTGCCCAGACGGGCTTTGAACTGCAACCCTCAGGTCTTGTCCTCCTGAGTAGCTAAGTTTACAAGAGTGAGCCACCAGTGCCAAGCTTTTTTTCTGGCCTTTAAAGATGGGGCTTTGCAGAGATAATGAGTTTCAACAAGGTCATGAGGGCAAGGACTTCATGAGGGTGTTAACGCCCTCAAAGGAAAGATGCCAGACAGTCACCTTCCATCTCCAGAGCTGAGAGAAACTCCGGTGGCCACCGCCACCCAGCCTAGGGCATTTGTGATGGCTGACTGAGCAGACCAGTACCAACTCCCAAGCTAATTATTTGCCATCCACCATAACATTTGTTTTCCAAATGTGCCTGTTGCACTTCAATCTATGTGTAAATTGAATTAGCTAATTAATACAGGTACAAAGTCTCTCAGTAAGGAGTCCCCAGTGATTCTGTTTCTGGTTCATTTCCATATACGTGAGTGTATATCTCTAAGTATATACATATATAGATATAGATATATAGATAGATATGAATACCTATCTCTCTCTCTCTCTCTCTCTCTATATATATGTATGTATATGTCTTCATTTAGGACTAGGCTGAAATTTCTCTATCTTCTCATTTAACTGCAAAACAGATGATTTTATCCAAATGTTCCTCTGTCTACACTGCTTCTATATCTTGATTATTCCTGAAACCTTCCACTTTCCTTAAATTAGTCTCTAGGGCTGAGAACCCAAACAGTGACCTCATTTTGTGTTCAAGAAAGAATTAGGACCAGCATGTTAAGAATTACTAAGTAAGTCAGGTGCTGGTGACTCATGCCTATAATCCTAACTACTCAGGAGGCTAGGGGGAGAAAATTAAAAAATAAAATGCAGTTGGTCTGGCTTCTTTTTTAGAAGTAGAAAGGGCTTGATAAGGATAATGTATATTTGTGTATACACACACATGCACACAGTGCTGATACTGGAGCTTGAACCCAGAGCCTGGCATGCTATCTATCCCTTAGGTTTTTTGCTATGAGTTGAACCACAGCTCCACCTCTGGCTTTTTGCTGGTTCATTGGCGGTAAGAGCCTCACAGACTTTTTTACCTGGTCTGGCTTTGAACCTAGATCCTCAGATCTCAGCCTCCTGAGTAGCTGGAAGTACCAATGTGAGCCCAGAGCCTGACCACATGATGCATATGTAACACTACTCGGGACCCTTCCTCAGTAAAGCAAGGGATTCCAGTGTGCACGTGTAGATGTGTATGGATGGGAGCAGTGGCTGCTGAGCAGAGCTGGGAACTCTTATTCAATATGGAAGCCGAGTCCACCTCCAGAGCTCTGCCGCATCACGCTGTGCGTTGCTTCAGATCTGCACTTGCATGCACAGTCATCTCTTGTTGGTCATGGGGCTGAGAGGCATTTGGGCCGCCCTTGAGGGATGCAGGCCGGTCTGCTGTCAGCGTCTCTCTACCGGGCTGGCGGCACCCTGGGTGTGGAGAGCAGAAGGGCTTCTCCGCTTCCTGCTGCCAGCAGGGTGGCATGAACAGCCGGCGTCAGACAGACCATTAAGCCATACAGAGATTCCCTGAAGACATGCCTGAGGACTTGTGGCATCTGCGTCGGTGATGGGAGATAGCGCCACACGCTCTCATGTGGCTCTTTAAAGGCCTCTGTAAGGCAGCATAGAGCAGCCATTCAATCACCCCGCCCAGGGTGGATGGGCCTCTGCAGGTATGGGGCGAGGCTGCCTCCCCGTGCTCACTCCTATCTGCTTTTCAGAGCAGGCCGGCACTTAGCGCTGTCACGCCGGATGCACCTGTCACTGTGGAAATCCCACAGCCCCGTACTTCTTTGCTCCTGATGATCACGGGGGATGGAATCCTGCCTCACAAGTGTGTTAATTACCTTGCTCTTGCCTTCCATCCTACGTCTAATCTGAGCGCCTTGAAATAGAAATGCGTGCTCCGGTAGTTCCAGTCCTCATTGTTCCCCGAGGATGCAGCCTTAGCCCAATTGTTTTTCTGTCCTCTCTACCTGTTCAGATCCTAAAGCACCAGGCACAGGATCCCCGGTGAATAATTGGGTTTGTGCACACACCACCATGACCCATGATGCACTTTCACAAGGAGCTCTGTCACTGTGTATCCCCGGGAGAGCGTGTTATCCATCCACGATGACTCCACATTGTGTTCTTCAGATCTCAGCCCTCTGAGTAGCTAGGATTACAGGTGTGAACCATTGTGCCCAGCTAAATTGTGAGAGATTATCAGGCTACGTGTCCATTGCATTCATCTCCTACCATATGCCACCCACTCCTAGATGTGTCTCAAAAGGTAAAGAACAATAAAAGGAGCCCGCTGCCTCCCCCATCTCGGTGGCAGAGAGAAGGTTCTTGATTCAACGGAGTGCAATGCTACTGGGATGCTGAGCTCCTGTTCTATCAGGAGCCTGGACAGAAATGGAGGAGTTGGCTGAGTGTAGGCCAATCATGACAGCCCAAACTTATTTATTAACACAGTTGGATTAATAACAGATTCAGCTATCATAGGCCAAAACAACTTCCTTGAGAATGTAACTCATGGCCGAGATGGGCAGATATTAATCATCAGGAAGGGGTAGGAGCTGGAAGTTTCCCCCCATTAGGGTCAGAGAAGAAGCACTTTAGCTTCTGCAGGTCAGATGATCTCTTTGGCAGCCTCTCAATTCTGCCATTTCACTGGGGAAGCAGCCAGATGTGGAGCGTATGGGATGGGGAGGGAGCAGGTCTCAATCATTTGAATTGAATGAACTGGTGTCAAGGTGCCCTGGACCCTTGGGCCGGGTTTTGCCCTGAGATAAAGGCTGCCCAGATGCCAGCAAGGCTTTTGACCAAAGAGGAGAGTGAAGCTGTGTGTGTGTGTGTGTGTGTGTGTGTGTGCGCATGCGCGCGCGTGCCGTGGGATTGGGCAGTGACAGTGATGCCGTCCTGGGACTTTTAGACGGAAGTGAATGCTGAACTGGAGAAGAGTTTCACGTCAAATGTCTGCTGCATGGGATCAAAGCAAACTTGATTCTCCATGTTCAAAAGTTAAAAGAAAAAGAAAGAAAGAGAGAGAGAGAGAGGAAGGAAGGAAGGAAGGAAGGAAGGAAGGGTTTGGCATCTCAGTTGCCTGAAAACTAATGAGGAGACAGATGGCACAAGGTTACTTGTAAGGAAATCGAATGTGCTAGGTGGTCCTTCTGTGTCCACTCCAGCTTGAGTGGGTTACCATAGAGCCCCTGCTCGGCAGGGGGAGGAGAGGGGAGGCAGGGAGGCCAAAGCTCAAGGCTGATCTATGATTCTCTGTCTCTTCTCTCTTTGCTTTCAAAAGTCCCAATTATAATGCAGGTTTCCGGAAGTTGGTGGGAGGGACATCGTACTTTCTAAGAAGTCTTAATTGCAGCTTTGTTCTCAAATAAAGAACAAGCGCCCTTACCTGGGAGTGAAGTCAATGTGTTGACATGTATATGAAAATATTTGGACTATTTCAAATGAGACTATAAAGGAAGACGGATTTAAGGAGCCAGTAGGTCTACAAGCAAGCATGCTCATAACCACTGATAATCTGCTTTCAAAGGCACCAAGGAGCTAATTATATTTGGAGAGGACTATGTGCCTGGTAAAAATAATTGAAAATAAATTGCTCTCCCTGGAAATGCAAATTACAGAGTGCTAAAGCAACTCTGTTGGTCACATCAACCCGAAAAAGATATGCATTCTCACCTCAGTTAGTTGGCATTGATTGATGTCCCATTCTGGCTGTGATGGGGCCTGGAGCAGCTTTGCCAACAGAGGTACAGGGGCTCCAGGCAGAGGGAGGGCACTTGCTGAAAGGCTCCTGAGATGAGGCCCCACCCTTGGAATTTTCTAGGCTGACCAGAAGGGACCCTGGAGTCCGCTGAAGGGTCACTGGGTTGCACGCCACCCAGGCCACCAAAGAGAACCAGGCACTGATGGCTCTTGTGGTGGAGGGAAGGAGAGATGAGAGGCCTCAGAGGGGAAGCTGGAGCTTTGTTTGTGGCAGGAAACATAAGAGGATGTCCTCTCCACAATACCTAAATAAGTCTTTTGTGTGTGCAGATATGGGTGCTTGAACTCAGGGCTTCAAACCCTTGCTTAGCTTTTTTTTTCTTGCTCAAGATTGGCACTCTCCCACTTGAACCACAGTTCTGTTGCTGGCATTTTGCTAGTCCATTGGAGACAAGAGTCTCATAGACTTGACTGTCCCAGCCAGCCTCAAACTGCAATCCTCAGATCTCAGCCTCCTAAGCAGCTAGGATGACAGGCATGAGCCCCCAGTGCTTGGCAACCTTGATAAGTCTCAGCGCACAAAACCAAACCAAACTCCTGCAAAAATGTTTTATGCATATATATATATATATATATATATATATATATATATATATATTTTACTCAAAGAAGCAACATTGCTTAGACATCTTCTCTTAAGCTCTCAATGGATAAGGGAAGAAAACCGGATTTCCGGCTGGAAAGCGGGTACATCCTGCCAGGGTAGGCAGGTCCGAGTTGAGCAAGCTAGAAGGCGATTCCATTGACCCTAAAGACAGTAAGTAGGCTCTTCCTCAAGCCTCTGAGCTGAAGAAGAAAGATGAGGGGGAGCCAGTGTGGGGTGTTTCGGGGGGGAGGTGTTCCAAGGGGGCACGTGGGCGCCTGAGGCCATGAGAGGCAGACCCCTCTCTCCCTCTGGGTGGGGTCCCTGTTGCTGCTAGGGGGCTGGGGGAAGTAACACATGAAGAATCGCATAGCAGGGCCTAGTCCCACCCAAGGGCCCTGCTACATGCCTTTGGTTCCCTGGGGAGCATGTCCACAGCCACAGTCAGTGAAGAGCAGAAGTGGGATCCGTTCTCACCCTGGCCAGTCCACCCCCAAAGGCCCACCACACTCCTTCCAGGCAGTTGCGGGGCCTCGGCTCAGGTCTCAGTGGCCATCCCGGTCCTCAGCAGGGCAGCCGTCCACCCCTCCCAGGCCCACAAGCACAGCCTTGGCTTTCTGTGCACCGGGGCGCAGCCTGGAACGTTTCCTGGCCTGGCTGAGCACGCAGAGGAGGGAAAGGAGCAGAAGGACGAGCAATACCAATGGGCAGACCACCAGAAAGTGGACCAACAGTGGCTGTGAGCAGATTCTGGAAGAGAATGTCAACTCTGCAACCAAAAGGTGAAAAAATAGAATCATCAGAGTGGCTTCCCCGGCCTGTCAATCACCCCCCCCCCCAACCCCCCTGCCACGTGCTGTTCTGGGCAAATAGATGGGAAATCACATGGCCACTTGGCACAGGCTGCTCCCCACTCCCACCCCGCCCCACAGGAGAGCCCAGGACAGAGGCAGACCAGGGCCCGCCCTCCTGCCACCAGCACACACTCCCCCACTCCCCTTCCCAGCCATTCCCCACCAATGACCTACATAAAACCGCCAACCCCCAAGCAAAACAAAACCAAAGAAGAAACCTTGCCTTTAATCTTCTCCCCTTAGAGCCGCTATCTATAATTCAGCCCTCCTTCTCCACTGCGTGGTGGCTGCTGAATTTTTAACAGAGCTATTCCCACGGCTGCTGCTGGCACACACAGCACACACACAGCCCGCACACACACAGCCTGCACACACACACACACCGCCACAATTCTCGACCTCACCCTCCCTTGCCCCCCAGCCCTGTCACCCCTAAGCCAGTCACAAATCCCCCAGACACCTTCCCCTCCCCTGAGTGCCTGTCCTGACCTTCTGGGCTGTTACCTCCCTCTCTTATTTCTCTAGGCCACGCAGGCCGTCCTGACCACCCTGTGCCCAGTCCTGCCTCCCTTTCCTGGGACACAGCGCACCTGGCTCCCTTTTCAAAGCCCTCCCGTCATGTGCGGGCCTTTCCTTCCCTTTTAACCTCTTTTGTTTGACTAGAAGTGGTTAAGGATGCCTGATGGTGGCATGTGTTTCCCAATAACTTCTGTGGATCTGAATCAAATCTCCTGGCTTGTGACCCCAAGGCTGAAGACTCCATATAGAAGGATGCGGACGCCTCTGACCCTTGGTAGCTGGGCCCTCTGGGAAGAACAATCCTCCCACAGATGTGGGGAGTGTGCACAGCTGTCCATTTGGCCAGGGAAGCAGAGAGGACAGGCCTGTAAACATCATAGGTCCCCAGGGCTGCTGGTCAAAGGACCACATTTACAAACCCTTGAAGCAGAAAGGCAGACACTTAAAGAAGATACTAGCAGGGCTGGGATGAAACTCAGTGGCCAAGCACTCCTCTAGCAAAAAAAAAAAAAAAAAAAGAGAGAGAGAGAGAGAGACAAAAAAAATACAGCTAGGAAGTGGCACTGTGGCTCAAGTGGTAGATGGCTTGCCTTGAGCTGAAGAGCTCAGGGGCAGCACCCAGACCCAGAGTTCAAGTTCCACGACCAACCAAAAAAAAAAAAAAAAAAAAGCCTTATTGAAAAAAAAATACAGCTAAACAAGAGATACTAGCAAATAAATGTGGCCTGCATTTACCTAGAACAAATGGTCTAATGACTAGATAAAAATGCTATTTTAAGGTGGGTGCCATGGCTCATGCCTATAATCCTAACTACTCAAGAGACTGTGATCTGAGGATCCTGGTGCAAAGCCAGCCTGGACAGGAAAGTCTGTGAGACTCTTATCTCCAGTTAACAAGCAAAAAGCTAGAAGTAGAGGTGTGGCTTAAGTGACAGAGTACTAGCCTTAAATGGAAAAAGTTAAGCTAGCATGCCCAAGCCCTGAATTCAAGCCCCAGTACCTGCAATAAAACCAAAAGAAATGAAATAAAACAGAATAATAAAATTAAAATAAAAATCTTCCCCCTGAGGGTCTTTGCTGACCCTAGATCATGGCCCTGAGCACTGACAAGGAGCCCAGGTGTGGTTTCCTCCAGACTCCTTGAAGCTTTTTAATGACTGGAAACCACACTGCCCATACCCAAGGTTTCTGGGCTTTTTCAGTCAGTGATGGAGGACATAAAGACTACTCAATTTTTAATGTTGCCTTTGTGGAATTCATCTTAAAAATCTTACACCTGTCTTACAAGGATTCTACAGGGAGCAGCAATATAGATACAGAGCCAGGATCAAGGGTCTCCGAGGAGCCGTGCCTTCTAGTCCCAGAATCGGTGCTTTTAGTAAGTAGCTATTTATTCCTCTGAAAAAAAGTCTGCCAGCTTTGCAGAGCCTAGGAACTCCAGGGGAAAACACGTGCGGAATGTGCTCAGGGTGTGGGACTTCCTATAGTTGTTGGAATGAAAGGCTGGCAAGATAATATGTTCTGTCTGAACACTTAGGAGAAAAAAAAATAGTTGACCAATAGACAAGGGAAGAGGACGGTGGAGCCCTGGGGAAGAAATCAGAGATGGTGTTGGCTTCCCGCCTACAAGGCTGGCTGTCCTGTCTCCAAGGGAATGCAGTGTCCTCAAAAACACTCCTGCCCCAAGATGGGAGTCACTAGCGCTAGCTGAGGTCTTGGCTGGCCTGTCCCTGAGGTCAGCTTAGCTCCTTCCTCCCCATCCCATGAGCTTCCCCACAAAGAGAATGATCTGAGTAAGTGCCTGCACTGGTGGCTCACTCTACAATCCCAGCTGAGATCCGAGGATCACAGTTCAAAGCCATCTGGGCAAGAAAGTCTATGAGACTCTTATTTCCAACTAATCAGCAAAAAAGCCAGGAGTGACTCAAGTGGTAGAGTACCAGCCTTGAGCAAAAAAATAAAAAATAAATAAGGCACAGTGCCCAGGCCCTGAGTTCAAGCTTCAGTCCCGGCACACATTAAAAACTAAACAAATGAATGTGAATCATCTGGGAGATGTTGTAGATAGCCATCGATCAGCAGGAAGACTTAGTAGTGTAGCTAAAGAAGTTTTATTTTTATTGTAAAACTTCTAATAATCCCTACACATGCCAGGCTGTGCCACTCGGGAATGGCTTTCAGTAATGGGCAAGGGCCTGCACCTAAGTTCTCCAGGGCACCCTCCCTCCATTCTTGATGTCTTCAAGGTACAATGGGAAGAGGAACCAATGACCATGGCCATGGTGTGACTCTTAAGCATCCCCCAATGGTCCATATGTTACAAATATGGTCCCTGGCCAGACACGGTGGCTCACACCTGTCATCCTAGCTACTCATCCTAGTTGAGATCTGAGGATTGTGGTTTGAAGCCAGCCTGGGCAGGAAAGTCTGTGAGACTCTTATCTCTAACGAACCACCAAAACATTGGAAGTGGTGCTCAAAGTGGTTGAGTGCTAGCCTGAGCCAAAGAGCTCAAGGACAGTGCCCAGGCCCTGAGTTCAAGCCCAGGACTAAAAAAAAAAAAAAAAAAAAAAAGGTCCCCAGGCAATTCATCTTTGAAGAAACGGGGCCTCATAGGAGGACTTGAAGACATTGGGGACATGTTCCAAAAGGTGACAGTAGGACCCCAGTCTCTTCCTCTGTCTCCTGCTTCCATGATGGTGCCCTACCACACATTGCATCAGGTCCTGTGTGGAGGGCCTGGCCAGGGACTAAAAGCTCTGAAGTTATCAGTCACAAGAAATCTTTTTTCTCTAGGCACTGAGTACCTTGGGCAGATGTTGTGGTATGGAAATGTTCTAACATGACTCTCACAACCAAAGTCCCAGTCGTGGTGTGTGTGTGTGTGTGTGTGTGTGTGTGTGTGTGTGTGTGTGTGTGTGTGTGTATGTGTGTGTGTGTGTGTGTGTGTGTGGTGTGTGTGTGTGTGTTGAATACACAGAGGTAAAAAGTAAGCACTTGATATTTGGGAAAGGTGATTGGGATTTGTTGTTGTTGTTATTTTTTGTAATGGTTGTCTTGCTTTTTCTGCCTGATTCAGTTGCTACTTAGCAGTAGCTGACTTTGGTTCAATCAGGTTAAAATGCAAAGTGGTGCTCTCATTTCCCCTGCATTCCAAGGTTGAGGGATCAGCCAAGAGGAAAAGCAAAGCATCTGCCTTACCTTTTTATCCACTATTTGAATGGTTAAAGACACATAATGTGGACAACTCCTTGTTTTTTTTGGGGGGGGGGGAGCAGAGCATGTTAGATGAGAAAACCTCATGTAAACTTTGTTCAAATGAATTAGTACTGAAAGAAATAATAATGCTCTTCTCTTCCCCTCTCCTATTTTTTTTAATGCCAGTACTGGGACTTGAACTCAGGGCCTTGCACTGTTGCTGAACTTTTTTGTACAAGGCTGGCAGTCTACCACTTGAGCTATACCTCTACTTCTGGCATTTTGTTCTTTAACTGGAGCTAAGTCTCTGGGATGTGTTGTCTGGCCTGGCTTTGAACAACTGTGATCCTCAGATCTCAGCTTCCTGAGTGGCCAGGATGATAGGTGTGAGCCACTGGCATCCAACGAATCAGGTCATCTTTAAGGAATCAAAGACTTATGCTAACGATGGAGAAGGACATAGCTTTGTCAGCAGGTGTGCTGACTCTGCGCGTGTGGTGGTCACGCGTGGCACAGGGCCCCAGTTACCTGCGGGCAGCACCCTGAGCTCCATGTGCTGGGAGCCGTCAGAGGCCTGGCTGACCCACTTGCCCGGGGAGCCGTGGAGCCGCCACTCGGCCACGATGCACCAGTACAGGCCGGCATCCTCCATCTGCACGGGCCGCAGCTTCAGGACGAAGTCGGTGGGGGTGACTCGGAGGCCGAGCATGCGTGCCCCACGCCCAGCTGTGTCCTTGCCTGGCTCCTGCAGGCCGTCATATTGCAGGCTCAGCAGCTGCACTGGGCCACCGGGGCCGCCCCGGTACCAGGTCACCGAGTACAGGGAGCCCGTGGTGCCCGGGGCCTGCAGGCCGCAGGGGATGTCCACCTCCTCGTGCTCTGTGGCGTTTCCTGTCCAGTGGGCTTTGGAGACCCTCACCCGACTTCCTGGAAGATGGAAGAGAGAGGAGGCGACGTGACGGACTGAACGTTTTGAGACAACAGTGATGTCACCATGCCTGGCCTGTCATCCCAGCTACTCAGGAGGCTGAGGTCTGAGGATCCAGGTTCAAAGCCAGCCTGGACAGGAAAGCCTGTGATTCTTATCCCCGATCGACTATCCAAAAGGCAGAAGTAGATCTGTGGCTCAAGAGGTAGAGTGCTAGCCTTGAGCAAAAATCCTCAGGGTTTAGTGCCCAGACCCTGAGCTCAAGCCTCAGGACCGGGGAAAGAGGGAATGTTATATCACCAGCCAAGGGAACCATCTAAATGAGTGGATTAGGCCAGACTTTAAATTGATTTTGACCTACATATACTCTTCCCTCCCTCCACTAATCAGCAGGTGAATGAATACTTGGAACAAATATGCAGAGTAGTTATTTTAAAAAGGAAGGAAAAAAATCATATTGTGCGCCACATTTTCAACCCTACTACAACTATGTTCATCTATTTTAAAAATAAGCTCTGTCTGATCTTGAACTGTTGTTACTCTCTCCCATCCTTCCTGGAGAAGCTTATAAAATATTAGTTTTACATGAAGCTGTTTCCTTCCTCACCTCCAGTGACGCTGCTTTCACTGTAGTCTAGCTCACGATCTCACTGCTGCGTCTGGCCAAGGCCCATATCAAGACAACCCAGGGTTCATGTGTCTTCTCCAGGGTTTTGTGACTTATGTCTATTTTCTTCTCAAAATTCTTTCTGCTTTTGACCTCACAGAGAATCCCCCATTCTGCACTGACCAGCCCATCTCAGCATCTTTCCCTGGAGCCTTTCCTTTTATCCCTTGCCTGAACCGGGGTGAGCATCTGACAACTCCCACTGCACAAAAACTTGCAGTGAGGTTTGTTCAGCACCCTCAATATTTCAGAAGACCCTGAGTAGTGGTAAACACTCTCTCATTAAGAGATGTCATTATTTGGTTAGTTTTTCATGGCTTTGGGGAAAAAAATCATAATAACTCGAATAAAACCATTCAAGGGAGCAATGACTTATTTTGGTTCATGGTTTCAGACCCTGTGACGCTATAATGCTAGGGTGCTGCAGGCCTGGAAACCACCATCATGTGATGGCACCCAGGCTGCCAGCTCGTGCGGTGACCATACTCCTGGACCCCAAGAGCCTGCTCTGCTGAACACAGTGAAATCCGCACCACTGAACCCACGTCCTCCCCAGCCTTGTGCGAACAGCACCCAGCCACGCTCTTCTCAAGGAGACGTCTTCTAAATGTGCTTACTCTTTACCTCCTTCAGTCTTTATTAAAGGGCGGGGCCTAGCCAATTCCCAGGATGCCCTCATGGTACCTTTTCTTCTTTCCTGGTGCCAGGGATTTGGCTTCTTCTTCATGGAGGTGATCTCTTTCTAATATCTTTTTTTTTTTTTTTGTCGGTCATGGGGCTTGAACTCTGGGCCTGGGCACTGTCCCTCACCTCTTCAGCTCGAAGTAAGAGCTCTACCACTTAAGCCACAGCGCCACTTCCAGTTTTCTCGTGGTTCATTGGAGATAGGAGACTCACAGACTTTCCTGCCCATCCTAGCTTTGAACCACGATCCCCAGATCTAGCTAGGATGACAGGTATGAGCCACCAGGGTCTGGCTCTAATATCTTTGATACTTCCCTGTCACCAACTTTACTAGACAGATTGGACAGACTGCAGGCTTTTTATCTTTCTGCTCTGATTTTTGTTCCCAGTTCTCACTGTAAATCTGGTAAGGAGTGGCCTCAACAACCATGCCCCAAAAGCCACGTCACAGACAGAATCCTTAGTTCACTGTCTTGACAGTTCCTTTCTTGGACTAATTATTCATCTGAAATGAAGCCTCACTCGAAGCCTCAGGGCATGGACAAAATGTAGACCAATTAGTTTGCCAGAATGTAAGCTACATGGCCTGTAGCCCAACAGAGCCCTTGTTCTCATCTGAAATCTCATGCGCACAGTCTGCATTCCTGTCAGGATTCTGGTCTTCTGAGCTCTCACTGAAGCCGCTGTTAAGCTCCGCCTGCGGCATTCTTGGACTTCACTAGTCTGCTTTGCCACACATGCAAATCCTTCCCACAAGCTGGTTTCAAAGGCTCAAGAGCCACTTGGGCAGGCTTGGGCTCCGCAGTGATCCCACTGCTCTGGTACCAATTGTCTGCATTTGCTTTGGTGCTGCTGTGGTGGCAAATACCGGAGAGAAAGTTTAAAGAAGGAAAGATCGATTTTGTCTCACGGTCTCAGAAGAAGTTTCTGTCTCATGGTTTAGACCGGAAGCAAGGCAGAATATCATGGCCAATGGAGTGTGTGGCAGAGGCTGCAATCTCTTGGAAACCAGGATGGGGGGGGGGGAGAGGAGAAATGAGAGAGAGAGAGAGAGAAAGAGAGAGAGAGCTGCATTTCCTTGGGCCTCTAGCCTGTTGGATGATGCCACTCAATTCAGGGCAGATCTTTTCCCCAGAAAACATGCAGAAATGTCCTTTATGAATCTCTTCAGTGTTTCCCAACCAACCAAACTGCCCATCAAGATTAACTACTGCAGTCATTAACAAAAGACAAACCAGCATTTCTGGATGTATTCAAAGATCTGACAGCATGGAGTCCACATTTCTACCTGGAAGCCAGGAAGTGGCCGCCCTCCTCCTTCAGAGGGTTCCTCACACACTGTAGGATTTTGGCTGGGACAGCTGAGAGACAGGATGCCAAACACGCAGATGCAGGAATGTGAGCGGGTCTGGAGGATTGGCACAGGGGATAAATGTGATTTAGGACAGGGTAAGGGTAGGGGTCCCAGGGGCATCCAAGTAGAAATATGTAGCCAGCAGATGGATCTTGAGGCCTAGGGCTTGGGAGATATCAACAGAAAGACAGAGTTGTCATCCTGATAGCAGCAATCAGAGCCTGGGGAGCATTTTAGAAGTTCTGAGGAAAGCAAAGAAAAAGGAAGCAAAAGGGTCCAGGATTTGTCCTTGAGACACATCCATGTTTAACAGGGAGAGGACACTGAAGAAAACAGAGGAGGAAAAGGAGGAGGAGGAGGAAGAGGAGGAGGAGGAGGACCTTGTATTAAGCTACTGCTTTGCCCCTGCCCCCACAGGATGTGTTCCCTAAGAGCAAACGCTGTGCCCCGCTTGTCCTTGTATTCCCAGTGCCCAATACACAGTAACACACAATGGTTATCCTCCTGTTTGAAAGCAGTGTTTTATTACTTGCATTATGCTATTGGACCTTACCCAGTTCCCAAACCTTCTCTGTGACTTTCACTCTCTGTTAATCGACAGTCGAGGTGACCTACTGAAGTCTGAGACTTAATCAAGCCATTCACCTTTCACAGCAAGCGGCGCTCTTGGCCGGGGGCGGACGGATGGAACTTCCATTACATTTTTAAAGACCTCCTGAGGAGGAGGCCTTCCCCTCAGCCAGCCATTCCAACAGTTAACTACTGTTGCTTGCCTTATGTTTAGGCAGCCAAATGTGGAAACGCAATTTCTCCACACGTCCCTGTAGACTTGTACAGTTTCTGCTCACAGTGGGAGAAATATGCTTCGTATTACTCTTCCTGGGCCAAATTACAGCAGAGCCCCGCTGGATTGACACAGCTTGTGATTACAGAGGCCCGGGGACACCGTACCATGGGTAGCTGCACAAACCAGACTGCGGAGCTGGTAAGAGAAGCAGCCAAAGGGATCTTCTTCCACCTGAGCTCCATAAGCCCCAGACTGACTCACCTGAGTGCCTTCCCCATCTTGGGTGGCCTTCCAGGGCCTGCAGACATGTGCAGGCATACACGATTCTTATGACTCCAGATCACATATTTAAACTATTGTGTCTATGCTGTTACTGGGGCCTGCTACTCAAGGCTTCATGCTCCTACTTAGCTTCCCCCCCCCCCCCCCCAATGCTGATGCTCTACTACTCGAGCCACAGCTCTACTTCCAGCTTTTTGCTGGTTAGAGATCAGAGTCTCACAGACTTTCCTGCCTGGGCTGGCTTCAAACTGCGATCCTCAGATCTTAGCCTCTTGACTAGTTAGGATGACAGGCGTGAGCCACCGGTGCTTGGATTTCCAGATCACATTTTTTGCTTCCCCAAGGAAAGGTGGCAAACCTCCAGCAAAATGTGTGACAGTCCCCTTACAAGGCTTACCTGTGGGCCTGAGTCTGAGCTCTGTGAGTCCGGACTTCTGTTCTCCAAGCTTCTTCCATGTGCCATTTGTGGACGAGAGCCACTCCCCCACCTCGCAGTGGTACCTGCCCTGGTCGTTGTCTTCCATTCCCACGACGTGCAGCCGAAACAAGGCAGGGGAAACCTTTTCTATGTAAAACTTTTCCTTTCTCTGCGGGGTACGAAATTCATCCCCATATATTACGATATTGCTTTGGTCTATTTCCAGAATCTTCACCCAGGATGCCTCAGTGGAGATGGGAGAAAAGTACCAAATAATGGTAAATGGAAGGTTTCCGGTGGACCGGGACTCGATGCTGCAGTCGATGTGTGCGGTGGAGCTGATGGCGATCTCTTGGGCTTGACTAGCAGAGCTCACTTTCAGCTTGCTCTCTGAATGGAGGGAATGAGAAGAGTTACTTTGCTAGAAGACAGACCCAGAAAATGGAAGAGCTCTAGCGGCCAGTGAGAGAGATCTTGAGTGTCCTAAGCCAGGGAGGGCATGACTGCCTCTCCCTCGGCCCCTCAACCAGAAAGGAACACATCCTATCTCTCCCACACAAACATTCTACAGCATCTAGGCGACAGGCCGCTCTTCTGGAGACTCTCGTGTACCACACCAAGGGAAAAGTGACACTATTAATGCTCTGTCTGCATGCTCAATATCCAGGGCACTTCTGCATTCGCCATTGATCAACGTCTCGTTGGAAGCATTTTCAAACACGAGCAAACAAAAGGAAATTGTGTGTGGGCTGATTAGAATGGCGTCCCTGCAGCCAGTCCTCTGTGGGGAGGTCAGAAGGACTGGGAGTCAACTGTCATTTAGCCCCAGTGGCTTTGCTGCTGGGTTAGAAAGAGGCACAATGGAGCCAATAAATCTTGCTTCTAAATCTCCCTCTGCCTCCCTGCTGGCGTCGCCGACTACACTTTCAAGCAGCTTCTCAGTGTTGCCATTGGGAGCCTGTAGTCTGCCTTCCACTAACGTTTATTGAGCACACACCATTGCACAGGCCAGCCTCTCCCAGCCCCGGTGAGAGGGGCCCGAGGTCTGGGGACAGAGATGGACAGATTACATCCACCGTGCCCTTCGCATGGGACAGGTACAAAAGTTTTATCAGAGCACTCAAAGGGCTGCGTAGCACAAATACAGGAGCAAGGAGAAACTTCCTGGAGGAGGCAACTCCGAGCTGCCGTAAGAGTTCATAACAATGATTTTGATGAAGGATGGGCTTACAGAATTTCACAGAAAAAGAGCAACCTGAACAACTCTGAAAGTGAGAAAGAGAGAGACCATGGATTACTGAGGAACTCAACGTGATCGTGGGGTGACTGTAGCTCAGATCAAGGCTAGAGAGCGAAGGGAGGGATGCTGCAAAGACATCAATGCACCGTATTATTTAAAAAAACAAAACACCCTTGCATGTCCTGCTGCAGGAGCTTGGACAGGAGGTGAAGAGAGGAGTTCCTAACGTGGGGCATGGGTAGGTGATGTTGGGGACAATCGGAGAGGACTAGCTTTAGATGGCAGCAGTGAGTGTGTGCTCTGACACCAGGAGTAGAGACATGTCTTAGAGGCGGGTGCAGATGAACCTGGAGTTCAGAAGAGAACTCTTTCAGCAAGGTGAAGGCGGCAGTTGCCACATTCGACCTCAAGAGACTGTCTGTGTACAACCAGAAGAGAGGGAATTGAGGGTAAATTCAAAGGAATCTTTAAAGCAGGAATCAACCCTTGGTGTGTCAGCACCTGCCTGTAATTCCAACACGAGGACATTGGGAGAGTAGTATCACAAGGCCAACTTGAGCTGCATAATGAGATCCCATGTCAATAGACAAAAATCTAATTTTAAACCCACAAGAGGGCTGGGAAGGTGGCTCAGGGATAGAGTGATTGCCTTGCATGCATGAAGCCCTGGGTTCAATTCTTCAGCACCACATACACAGAAAAAGCCAGAAGTGGTGTTGTGGCTCAAGTAGTAGAGCTTTAACCTTGAGCATAGAGAGACTCAGAGACAGAGCCCAGACCCTGAGTTCAAGGCCCAGGACTGGCAAAAACAAAAGAAAACAAAACCCTCAAGAAAAGAATAGATCCATGAGAGAGGGGATTCTGAAAAGAATCAGAAGGGTTGGAGGCATGGATCAGGTGGTAGAGTACCAGCCAATAAGTGAAAGCATTAGAAACTGAGTTTGAGTCCAAGTTTTAGAAAGGAAATGAAAAAAGGAAAAAAGAATGAGAGGGAGCAGTCAATGTTAGGAAAGGAATTTTAAAACCTGGTGTTGCAGGGCGCTGGTGGCTCATGCCTGTAATCCTAGCTACTCAGGAGGCTGAGATCTGAGGATCACAGTTCAAAGCCAGCCTGGGCAGGAAAGACCAGGAGACTCCTATCTTCAATAAACCACCAGAAAACCGGAAGTGGCACTGTGGCTCAAGTGGTAGAGCGCTCACCTTGAGCTGAAGAGCTGAGAGACAGCGCCCAGGCCCAGTTCAAGCCCTATGACCGACAAAAAGCAAAAACAAACAAACAAAAAAAACCTGGTGTTATGGAGCGAAGAAAGCTAAGACTCAGGGCAGCCATTTTAAATACCACAGAAAGGACAAGTACACAAAGGCATTCATTCAAAGCCAGACTGGGCAGGAAAGTCTATGAGACTCTTATCCTCAATTACTTCTACTTCCAGAAAAGCTGGAAGTAGAACTGTGGCTCACGTGGTAGAGTGCTAGCCTTGAATACAAAAGCTCAGGAACAATACTCAGACTCTGAGTTCAAAACTCATAAATGAATGAATTAATTAATTAATAAACAAGGAGATTATTGCTATTACTACAAACATAGCTGAACAGCACAGAGACTGGGCAGCAATCACACTGAGCTATGTATTGGGTACTGTGTGAGGCGCACTGAATAGTTAACACATTGGCAATTTACAGAAGAGGTCTCGGATGAAGCGACTTGTCTAAAAACATACTGCTCTCCGAGGCTGGCCCATGAAAAGGAATTCAGTTTGGCAAACATTCTCCCAAGAGAATGCAAGTTAAGAGAGACAAGACACTGCACAACCTCACATAGGGTGGTGTTCACCTGGAACCTCTCTGTTCTGTTTCCCATTGGTGAGACACATGACATTTCACCATAGTCCTGAATTCACTGACTTAGACGTGAACACAGTACAGAGGTGTAGACAGGTGTATTCTAACAGAATTGCCATTATTGATGCCACTCCAGATAGGTGTGTAAGTGACCTACTTTACTTGTAAGCTTGTCTTTGCACTGGAGATAGCTCAGCTGTGCCTGGAAGTGCACTGCTCTGCCAGGCAGTGCCCTAGTGAGGCTCATGCACAAAGGAAGAAATAGCACAGAGCAGTGGAGACTAGCTGGCATGGAAAGTGTTTGATTTCTTTGAACCAATACTGGCACTTGAACTCAGAGCCTCAGCCTCTTGCTTGGCTTTTTTGCTCAGGCTGGCACTCTACCACTTGAGCCATACCTCCACTTTCAGCCTTTTATTGGTTCATTGGTTCATAGACTTTCCTGCCTTGGCTGACTTTGAACTATGATCCTCAGAGCTCAGCCTCCTGGGGAACTAGGATTATAGGTGTGAGCTGCCAGTGTTCAGTTAGCTCGTCAATGTTTTCACAACAGTATGGTCCTTCTACTCATAGTAACTTAATGTTGGCCTGTATGAAACTCACTGCAGGGTGCTGATGTATATAGTACCAAGGGGAGGGGTTCAAGGTGAGAAGAATTTTTTTTTTTTGGTCAGTTGTGGGGCTTGAACTCTGGGCCTGGCCGCTGTCCCTGTGCTCTTCAGCTCAAGGTGAGTGCTCTACCACTTGAGCCACAGTGCCACTTCCGGTTTTCTTGTGGTTTATTGGAGATAAGAGTCTCATGAACTTTCCTGTCCAGGCTGACTTTGAACTGTGATCCTCAGATCTCAGCCACCTGAGTAGCTAGGATTACAGACGTGAGCCACTGGTGCCCGGCAAGAAGAATTTGCTTTAAGACATGGTCTTACTGTGTGACCTAGGCTAGCCTTGAACTTGCAATCTTTCTGCCTTAGCCTCCCAAGTGCTTGGATTTTAGGCATGGGCCACAGCACGTGGCAAGATAGGATCTTTTCTTTTCCCCCCAAGCTGAGATTAATTCCAAGTGGGTCTTACCAGGTAAGGAAATGACTATTCTTAATGGGTGAGAGGAGGCAGAAGCCCTGGGAGAAGACTGGGCATTTCTGTCGTAGACGTCCACCTCGCACCGATACATTCCTGCATCTTCCTCAGTGGCCTCATGGATTAGGAGCTGAGACCTCAGCCCCGTGCGGGAGACCTTGGTCCTCTCATGGAACTGAGGCAGGAGAGTCCCCCATTCGACAGAGCCATCGTGGGCCATGTGAACCAGCTGATGGAAGGCTCGAGACCCTGCCGGCTGGAACCGCCACACCACAGACAGGGGCAGCTTGAGGGCAGAGAAGTTGGCAGCCACTACACAGGACAGGGTGAAGGTGTTGGCTAATGTCACGTGGGGCCGGCGGCTCATCAGGTGCACTTGTAAGCTCGATTCTGCAGATGGAAAAAAAATGAGACACAGTTCTGAATGTGTCTACCCACATCAACGTGCCACCGCGTGCGTGGGTCCTTGCCGCGGTGTGGGAACGTGTCCCAGGACTGCTAGGTCTGCATGGTCCATTCCCAGGAGAGTCTGGCCTGAATTTTGACCCCTGTGCTCCCAAGTTGACCCCCTCATCATGCACCACTGTTCTCAGCACGGCTAACAAATACACAGTGTTTCTCCAGCGCGCGGCCAAGACAGCTGCTGTGGAGTGGGTGGAGACTGGGCGCTGCGGTCTGGCCTCCTTCCTTCCTGCCTTCCTTCCTCCCTTCCCTCCCCCACTCTGGGCTCAGTGTCAGACTCTCGTGCCCAAGCCCTGCAGGGCTGAGCTGCAGGGTCAGCTGACAGAATGCAAAAGGCTTGGCTGTCTTCTCTAGAAGTCAACTCTGGTTCATAGGATTTAGTTTTTATCCTTGAATGACAAGTTCCACTCTAAAGATGATCATGAGAGATTTGCGCGTGCATGAGTACTGGGGCTCGAACTTTGAGCTTTGTGCTTTCACTTGGTTAGCACTCTACCACTTGTGCCACACCTCCACTTCTGGCTTTTGGGTGGTTAACTGAAGATGAGACTCTCATGGATTTGTTGTCCTGGGCTGCCTTTGAACCACAGTTCTCAGGTCTCAGCCTCCCAAGTAGCTAGGATTCCAGACATGAGGCACTAGCACCTGGCCTAAGGTGGGTCTTCTATAGACAATTTCAGGATTAACTGGCAGAGCCGATAGTCAGACTCTGCTGGAGTACACACACCACTGCTGGAGATTCAGGGTGACAGACAATCAAACTGCCCTGCAGAATAAAATGACTGATATCCAAGTTCCAAAGAGGATTGCTCTGCACTTACTCAGAGATTTTACAGTGATGGAAATGTTGCGCATCCAGGGCTGGTCAGGGGCTGTGTGCCGGAGCCTCTCAGATACTTTGCACTGGTAGGTTCCGCCGTCTGCGACTGTGGTCGAGGGAATCTCTAGCCAGAAGGTGGCCCAATCCACTTTCTTCAATCTCATGTTGCCATGGTAATGAGGGCTCCCTGGAGAGGCGCCCAACTGCACGCTGCCATCAGGCTCCATGCCAGCTACAAGCCGGGGCTGGGGCTGGTCCTGTGGGATGTGCCACCAGCTCATCCACAGAGGACTTGGGGCCCCACCAGCCTTGCAGACGAGAGTGAGTGTCTCTCCTTCCCACACAGCTTGCTCCTTGGCCAACACGACCACACTTCTGGCTGTGAGTTACAGATTGTAGAGGAAAAGAGTACTTTGAATAAGTGGAAAACTTCCTACAATACAGGGAAATCTTATTAGTGATGACTCATCTCATGCGGACAAATCAGATCAAGCTGTTTCCTCCTGTGCTACCCAAGAAAACAAGATCTGCAAAGTACAAGAATGCATTTGGCAAACAAACAAACAAACAACAACAACAAGAAAGCTGGGCACCGGTGGCTCATGCCTGTCATCCTAGCTACTCAGGAGGCTGAGATCTGAAGATCATGGTTCAAAGCCAGCCCAGTCAGGAAAGTCATGAGACTCTTATCTCCAATGAACCACCAGAAAACCAGAAATGGTGCGGTGGCTCAAGTATTAGAGCACTAGCCTTGAGCTGAAGAGTTGGCGCCCAGGCCCTGAGTTCAAGCCCTATGACCGACAGAAACAAACAAACAAGAATGCACTCGGAATTTTCACTTAGATTGGGGGTGTGCGAGGGGGCCTGGACTGGGACTCAAACTCAGGGCCCCACACTCTTGTTTAGTTTTTTTCGCTCAATGCTGATGCTCTACCACTTGAGCTACAGCTCAACTTCCATCTTTTTTACTAGTTAATTGCAGATTAAAGTCTCACAGAGGGCTGGGAAGTTGGTTTAGTGGTGGAGTTCTTGCCTTGCATGCATGAAGCCTGGGTTCCATTCCTCAGCACCACACACACAGAAAAAGCCAGAAGTGGATCTGTGGCTCAAGTAGTAGAGCGCTAGCCTTGAACAAAAGAAGCTCAGGGTCAGTGCCCAGGCCCTGAGTTCAAGCCCCAGGACTGGCAAAAAACAAACAAACAAACAAAAAAAAAAAACAGTCTCACGGACTCCTGTTCGGACTGGCTTTGAGCTGTGATCCTCGGATCTCAACCTCTTGATTAGCTAGGATTACAGGCATGAAGCAGCATGCCTAGCTGCAAGTTAGTTTTTTTAAACCAATTTGTTTAATCAGTCCATTCTGAGGAATAATATTTAGTTGGATGAATACCTAGTAGTATTTAATTAGGAGGGTTATGAACCTAGAAGTCAGGATACTATGCTAATTTAAGCTTCTAGCTTTTTAGAATTTAGGTTTTCAGAGTTCAGTATGAGCTTCCTCCTTCAATTTTTCTCCTATTCAGTCCTAATTAGGTTAGTAAGTGTTTTAAACAGGGAAATAGAATACTTAGATGTCTGTTGACAATTTCTCCATAAAAATAATTACTATGGAGCTATAATTTGCGTATATTATGTATATATATATATCTGCTCATCTATCTGTCCATCATCTGCCTATTTACTAATCATCTATCTAATTGGTAAGAAGAGAGCCTTCTTATGTCTAAATTACAGTGTAAAACTACAACAGTGATGCTGGCTCCCAGATGGGAAATCCAAGATATGTAGAAAGAAATGCAGACATTCACCAAACAAATGCTTATTGTGCAAAGTCTGGTCCTGGTTGCTCTGTGGGTGATGCAGAGAGAAAGAGAGACAGAGAGAGAGAGAGAGAGAGAGAGATCAAGTGCCCCCATCCTAGGCATTTCAGCTGTGAGTATACAGTCAAGACCCTGGAGCCAGAATTACCCTGGGAAACACACTTGACCTCTCGAAGCCTTCGTTTTCTTTCCCATAAAAACATGGGTAATAATAGCACCCACATTATTGCATTGTTTGAGGAGACTGAACAAAGGGTCCACACAAAGGCTGAGACAGCTGGCTGGCTCTAGAGAGCTCTCAGGGAAGGTCAGCTAGTAGCTCTCATGTTAAGAGGCAGAGGTAGCTCAACACCAAGGAGAAAAGCAAAATAGAATTAGTGTTAGAAATCTAAAGAGTGCTAAATGAACCTACAAATTGCTTTTCCCTGCTGGGGAAAGAATTCAGTCTTAGACTGTTTTACACATACACATACACACACACACACACACACACACACACACACACACACACACACACAAATACACAACACACAAACTACAAAGGCAAAAATAAAGATTACTTTCCGTAAGTAGGTCAAAAACAGTTCCTAAGACTGCTTCCACATTGGGGTTGATGATTATGCTTCAAAATTTTTTTAATGTAAAATGACTCATAAGTGAAATTTAAGAATTAGAGAGGAAATTATCACTCGTAATTTCATCACTTTAGCATAACCATTATAGTTAGTTTCACCTAGGATCATTTAGGAATTAAAAAAAACAACATTCATTACATTTATTACTGCCCCTAGTAAGTAATAAAGTCACACTGTGTGCACTTTCTGCACTCCCAGTGAGAGTGGGCTCCCCTTCATTTAAATATTCATAGAGTGATAAAATCTGCTCAAACTTCAAACCATGGTTTGACTTTCAAAACAGAATGTTAAACAAGGTCCTTAATAAATATGCTAATACGTTTTCCTATTGCTACCTTTTAAGCCCAGTTTGGACTCCAGCCTGTGCAAAGGAATTATTTTGAGCCTTGGAAGCTATCTGTCCAAGAGGATTAGGAGCTGCATCCAGGGAGGCACACTTTTGAGGATCTCTTTGGCACAGATTCCCTCATACCAGGGTGAAGAAAGGTTGCAGGTATTTTCCACAGGGGTTCAGATGCACAAAGCAGAGACTAAGCTCTGGGAAAATATATCAAATGCCTACATTGTCTTTCCTGAATCTAGAGAGTTAGACCAAATGTGAAAACTAACACTAACACAACTTCCTGGCTTGCCACTCTAGGCCAAAGCTCGGATCATCATCTCTAGCCAGTGGGGAGACAGAGAAAAACATGAAAGAGAAAATCGTCTCTTTGGAGATGCCTCTAATGAGCAAGTGCAATGAAGTAGTTTTAATTCTAGCTCCGTTTTTTTCGCCCCTTAATTAAATTTTTTTCTTTGTGGGATTTTTTCCCCCCGCTTTGGGCAGTTATTCTTCCTAGACTTTGAATTTAACACTCAGCTCAGAGAATTCTACTATTAGCTGTGGAGTCGTCTGTCTTCACTCTACCCAGAAAGCACTGATTGAGCCAGGTACTGGTGGCTCATGCCAGTAATCTTAGCTACTCAGGAGGCTGAGATGTGAGGACTATGGTTCAAAGCCAGTGTGGGCAGGAAAGTCCCTGAGACTCTTATCTCCAATTAACCACCAGAAAACCAGAAGTGGTACTGTAGCTCAAAGTGGTAGAGTGCTAGCCTTAAGCAAAAGGGTCAGAGATAGTGCCCAGGCCCTGAGTTCCAACCCCTGACCAAAAACAAAACAAAACAACAACAACAAAAAAACACTGATTAGTCAAACATGTGTAAGGTGTCTCAACCTGTGTAAAGTGAAAGTGAGCTGAACAGCTTATTTTAGTTGTGTGTTGCAATAATAGAGTTCCTGAGGCTGGATATCTTCTAAAGTAAAGAGGTCTACTGGCCTCATAATTCCGCTGGTCACAGGGTCCCAGCAGCATGGTGCTGGTGTCCTGGCTACGTGAGAACATGGGGAGGAAGAAGAAAGAGAAGCAGAAGAAGCAAGGGTGGGCCAGGGAGCGGGCTCGCTTTGTGACAGTCCACTCTCCCAGAACGGCACAAATGCCATCACTGCAGGAGAAGGACCTAAGCCTCAACATCACCACTGGGGACCAAACTCACAGCCCAGGAGCCTTTGGAGGTCAAACTGCCTCCAAACCACAGCAGCGACGTTACTGCTTCCTGCAGAGATGTTCTGAACCACGCGTCTCGCTCTGCCCCAGGGAAGGCAGGAACTGGGGCCCGCAAGGAATCTAAGGCAGCAAGAAGGATGAGCTACCCGAGAGCCTTCGTGTTGAAGATGAGGAAGCTGGGGCTTAGAGGAGCGGGGGTTGGGGCTGGGAAGGTGGCTCAGGGGTGGAGTGCCGGCCTAGCATGCGTGAAGCACTGGGTTCGATTCCTCAGTACCATATACACAGAAAAAGCCAGACGTGGCGCTAGCCTTGAGCAAAAAGACACTCAGGGACCGCACCCAGGCCCTGAGTTCCAGCCCCAAGACTGGCAAAAAAAGAAAGAATGAAAGAAAGAGAGCCAAAGAAAGAAAGAAAGAAAGAAAGAAAGAAAGAAAGAAAGAAAGAAAGAAAGAAAGAAAGAAAGAAAGAAAGAAGTGAGGGTGTCCATGAGTCAGAAATGGGGTTCCTGAGGGCTCTGGTCCATCCTGGCACTTTCCTGACCTCCCCTGCCCCTGACTGTGAAGGAAGACCTGCCCGCTCCCCCCCTCACCCCTGCAGTGTGATCCAGAGCTCTCTGGAAGGAAGACCCCCTCCTGTCCTGCTAGAGGATCAGATCCATACCCAGCCCTGGCTTCTCTGACCTGCAGGCCTCCTTGGGTGAACCTGGCTGGCTGGCGATCGCTTTCTCTGCAGCTCGTGCCAGGAGCCCTCGGGGGTCCTGGTCACCTCCGCCACAGTGCAGCTATAGGTGCCTGCATCCTCGGGGCCTGCAGAGAAGATCCTCAGGGAGAAAGACTTGGGGCTTGGCTTTGAAACCTGGAGCTGTCCTTGCCTCGCTCTGTCCTCGTACTCCTTCTTCAAGCCCACGACTCCATCAGCGTCGATCTGCGCAATCTCCACCCCATTGTGGAACCAGAAGCCCTGGAGCTGCGGGGCCTGTGCACTGCCCAGCACCAGGCAAACCAGGTGCAAGGGCTGGCCCTCGGCAACCGGGCCGTCGGTGGTGACACTGACCGTGAACTCCGTTGCTGGTGACAAAAACAAAACAAGCTCAGTGCATCTGGCCTTTCCGTACCAGAGACACCTTTCCCCAAGTGCAGGGTGCACAGACTGCAGATTGTAGGTGGCAATTCTGTAGTGGTGTAACCTCCCTATGCCCCCCCCCCAACCCCCCAAATCCTGAATAAATGAAACTCACAACGGGCTGTTCCTGAACTCTCCCAGAAAGGACAGCACGGGTGGCTTTCTTAAAGCAGTCCTAGTAAGGAAGAGGCATGTGCAGACACATAACATGCACCTCTAGCTACTCTTTCTTAACACACGAAATAACGGACGCTTTTTCGAGTGGCTGTAAACCATGATTTCTTGCTCGCTGTCTTTGTGTGACTCTGGTGCTGGGCTTGAACCCAGGGCCTCCCGTGTGCTGAGCTCGTGTTTCTGCCAGAGCCCCAGCCCCAGCCAGCCCTCGTTGCTTATTCTCTTTTCTGTCTGAGAATAACCAGAGGAGTTTTTCCTAAGCAGAAAGCAGATGCGATGCAGCTTCACGGGATTGCTGCGTGTCACTTGGATGCTTGAAGCAGACAGGACACTCTTTTAAGGAAACAGACTAACAAACTTCTAAAGAAAACAAAATAACAACAACAGCAGCAAAAAACCCAAACCTCCACGTTCTATCACCCAGTCATTACGGTTACATATGGTTTATAGCCTCTTCCTCCTGGTTGGACCAATGCCTATGTAGAGCGATCAGAAGTTACAGATGATGCCTCTCTGCCTACTTGTGTGTGTGTGTGTGTGTGTGTGTGTGTGTGTGTGTGTGTGTGTGTGTGTGTGTGTGTGTGTGTGTGTGTGTGCCAGTCCTAGGGCTTGAACTCAGGGCATGGGTACTGTTCCTGAGTTTTTATGCTCAAAGCTAGGACTCTACCATTTGAGCCACAGCTCCACTTCTGGATTTTGGTGCTTCATTGGAGATAAGACTCATGAACTTTCTTGCGTGGGCTGGCTTCAAACTGAGATTCTCAGATCTCAGCCTCCTGAGTAGCCAGGATTACAGGCATGAGCCACTGGTGCCTGGATCTTTCTGCCTTCTTTTCATGTAAGTGTCAACACTGACTCAGATATTTAGCTCAGTTTATTTTTATCAAGTCAACTAAAGATTCTAAAAGAGATTTTTTTGTTTTGCTTTGTTTTTGGGTCTGTTCATGGGGCCTGAACTCTGGTCTTGGGCGCTGTCCCTCAGCTCTTCAGCTCAAGGCTAGCGCTCTACCACTTGAGCCACAACGCCACTTCTGGGTTTTTTCTTTTTGCTTATGTGGTGCTGAGGAATCGAACCCAGGGCCTCAAGCATGCAAGGCAAGCGCTCTACCACTGAGCCACCTTCCCAGCCCTAAAAGAGATTTTTTTAAAACGTAGTTGAATACTGGTGTCTCATGCCTGTAATCCTAGCTACTCGGGAAGCTGAGATTTGAGGATCTCAGTTCAAAGCCAGCTCAGGCAACTAAACCCAAGAGACCCTTATCTCCATTTAATCAGTAAAAAACCAGAAGTGGAAATGTGGCATAGGTGGTAGAGCACCAACCTTGAGCAAAAAGCTAAGGGACAGCACCCAGGCCCTAAGTTCAAGCCCCCAGTATTTATAAATAGATAAAGATAATCCGTAAATACTAGCAGTGAATTTGTTCATTTTCCAAGAAGATCATCACCTGCTGGCTGGACGGTCAGCGTTGTTTGTTGTGTCTGCTTCCTTGTGATCCAAGTCCAGCTTTTATCTGGATCTTGAATCCATTCTGTGGCTTCGCAGAACAGCTGACCTTGATCTGTAGGCTGCAGCCTGCGGATAGATGAGGTGGCAGGTTATTAGTACTGACTAACGCAAGGGTACAGCAGCTCCCACAGGCAGAGCAGCCGTGAGGGGCTCCAGGAGTTCATGGTTCTGTCATAAATCTGGTAAGACTCTCCAAGGTTTAGCCAGGAGCTGATGGAGATCCCTGGGATCCTAGCGACTCCAGAAGCTGAGATCCGAGGATTACGGTTCAAAGCCAACCCAGGAAGGAAAGTCTATGAGACTCTTATCCCCAGTGAAAAACACCAGAAGCTGGAATTGGAAGTGTGGCTCATGTGGTAGAGTGCCAGCCTTGAAAAAGCTAAGCAAATTCAAGCTCTGGTATCAGCACACACACACACACACACACACACACACACACGTGCGCGAGTACACCCAAGTAATCACTACTCACGTCAGGAAGCAGAATGTTGTCAGGCCCCGCCCAGCTGCATGTCCATCAGATCACAGTCTCTTCCCACTCAACTGCTCTTCTTTTTCTTTTTCTTTTTTTTTTGGGGGGGGGGGTCCGGTTGTGGGGCCTGAACTCTGGGCCTGGGCGCTGTCCCTCAGCTCTTCAGCTCAAGGCCAGCGCTCTACCACTTGAGTCACAGAGCCACTTCTGGCTTTTTTCTTTTTGCCTATGTGGTGCTAAGGAATCGAACCCAGGGCTTCAAGCATGCAAGGCAAGCGCTCTACCACTGAGACACCTTCCCAGCCCTCACCTTAACAATTCTGCATCACCAAACAATACAACGTGGGGGCAGTCGCTTGTTTTAAGTTTTATAAACAGTAGAATCTTTCTATATATAGAAAGATTCAGAAGTGTCTTGCCTCATTGATGGAACATAGCCATCTGTGTTACTGCAAATAACTGTAATTTATTTTTCTTTTCTTTTCTATATAATATTCCACAGCCTGGATACGCTACAACGGACCCCTTATACGGCAGACAGACAGTAATTTGCTCTTCCATGTGGCCTAGTGCAGTATTCACACCGTTCTCTAAGAGGGTGGCTGAAAATGTTCTAAACTTTCTGTGTGGCATAACCTTTTGGCAAGCAACAACTTAAACTTTTCTAAGGTGTTCTAACTCCCATTACTGGATATTCACTACAAAAAAGCATGTTATTAGCTGGGTGCCAGTGGCTCACGCCTGTAATCCTACCTACTGAGGGGGCTGAGATCTGAGGATCATGGTTCAAAGCCAGCCCAGGCAGAAAAGTCTGTGGGACTCTTATCTCCAATTAACCACTAGAAAAATGGAAGTGGAGCTGTGGCTCAAGTGGTAGAGCACTTGTCTTGAGCTGAAGAGTTGAGGGACAGCGCCCAGGCCCAGAGTTCAAGCCCCACGACCGACAAAAAAAAAAAAAGCGCCAGGCACCGGTGGCTCATGCCTGTAATCTTAACTATTCAGGAGGCTGAGATCTGAGGATCATGGTTAAAAGCCAGCCCGGGCAGGAAAGTCTGTGAAGCTCTTATCTCTAATAAACCACTAGAAATCTGGAAGTGGCATTGTAGCTCAAGCGATAGAGCACTTGCCTTGAGCTGAAGAGCTGAGGGACAGCACCCAAGCCCAGAGTTCAAGCCCCCACGACTGTCCAAAAAAAAAAAAGCATGATATGAATATATACTTTATTTGAAATGTATGAATAATGTTTTTATATGTGTGCAGTACTGGGTTTGAACTCAGGGCCTCACTCTTCACTTGGCTTTTCTGTTCAAGGCTAGTGTTCTACCACACCACGTAAGCTACAGCTTTGCTTCTGCCTTTTTGTGGGTAAGTGGAGATAAGAGTCTCACAGACTTTCCTGCCCAGGGTGGCTTTGAATCTTGATTCTCCCATCTCGGCCTCCTGTGTAGTAGGATAACAGGCATGCGTCACCGTCTGCAAACTGTATTTTAAATCTTTACAGGAAATGTGTGTGGTTAGTTGACGGGTTGGGGGTTTACTGGTTTACTATTTTTATACTGGGCATATACATATCAAATTTTATACATATCAAATTTTTAGCTGACTATTTGCCGTTTTTGCTCTTTCCCCCCATAGGCTTCCTTCTATCCCTTAGGATAGTTTCCATTTCATCTGGAATCGCCATGGCTGGCCTTTTCCTGGTCTCTGCGATGCCACTTTCCTGCCCTTCACCTCTCCTCCCACTGAGCTTTCCTTGCTCCTTTGTCCCGGGGGAGTCTCAGAATTCAGCAGATGCTCTGCCTTATGAATTCTACTCGACTTTGCGTCCGGCCTGGCTCCCCTTCAGAGCCTCTGATGCCTTTCAACCTTGTCCTCCCTGCCCCCCAGGCCCTGACCTAGAGAAAGCTTTGGCCCACCCCGCGTGGCACCACTGTCTCTCTTCTTTCTGAAACACAGAACATGAATCATAATAAATAAACATGTGCTCTGTGCTTTCTGGGAAAGGCTGAGCTTATTTTTATTAATTTTTTTTTCCTGCTGAAATGCTACCATTTAGCCACATTTTCTCCCCCTGCCCTTTTTTTTTGTGTCAGTTGTGGGGCTTGAACTCTGGGCCTGGGCGCTGGCCCAGAGCACTTAAGACATCTCAAGGCAAGTGCTCTACCACTTGAGCCACAGCACCACTTCCAGTTTTCTGCTGGTTTATTGGAGATAAGAGTCTTACGTGCTTGCCTGCTTGGGCTGGCTTTGAACCATGATCCTCAGATCTCAGCCTCCTGAGTAGCTAGGATTATAGGCGTGAGCCATCAGTGCCCAGCTATTTTTTTCACATTAACTCACAGAGGAAGACCAGAACCTTCTTTTTCCATAGCCTCAAGTAGTAAGTGCCCTTATAAACTTTCTTCCACCCAGCCACACCCAAAGGCAAATCTACCCAGGCAAACCTCAACATCAGACAAATGTAAGGGCTTCCCCTCCCTGACTGGCGAGGAGACCCCCTCCTTCCCCGCTGCACCCCCACCCCCAGCCCAGAACCCAGATGTCCAGGGAATCCAAGCACTGTCATCATAAATCAAAAATGATTAACAACACCAGAAGTGGGTAGTCCCATTCCACCGCCCAGCAACCTCCAGTAGACAATGTACAGATATAGACGTTATATATATATATATATATATATATATATACATATATACATATATAAACAGAGAGAATATGTAGAAGGATGCAGTTATGGAACTTACTCAGAAAGAGGAGGAGCGACGTCACACATTGGACCTGCGCCATGGGGACCACCACCGACCTTTCCCAATGTGTCACTGATGTTGCTCAGAAGCTGAGTGACAAATGTCACACTCGCATTGCGAAAGTAAAGAGGAACACTACTGTGGTTTTCAGCCCTTGAGGAAATTCAGACAGCTCACGAAAAGCAAAGCTTGGCCACAGTACAGGTCTCTTACTAAGTTCTCACATCTGAGTGTGAAATAATTTGTAATCTTGATGGATAAGTATAAACATACACGGATGAGAAATAAGATGGGGACTCATCCTGACTATATCTGTATCATTTGCTAACAACAAGGGGATTTAAGTAAGGCCAATAAAGAACAAACCACCAGAAATGTTTGCTTGATTTTTTTCTTTTATATTTTCAATTTATGTTTTTAAAAATTATCTTTAAGTAGTTGTACCAAGGGATTTCTATTCACTATAACAACTTAGAAATGTTTGCTTGTAGCCAGGCGCTGGTGGCTCACGCCTGTCATTCTAGCTACTCAGGAGGCTGAGATCTGAGGATTATGATTCAAAGCCAGCCAGGGCAAGAAAGTCTGTGAGACTCTTCTCTCCAATAAACCACCAGAAAACTGGAAGTGGCGCTGTGGCTCATGTGGTAGAGTGCTTGCCTTGAGCTGAAGAGCTGAAGGACAGTGCCCAGGCCCAGAGTTCAAGCCCCACGACAGAAAGAGAGAGAGAGAGAGAGAGAGAGAGAGAGAGAGAGAGAGAGAGAGAGAGAACTGTTTGCATGTGAATCTTTCCTTGGGCTCCCCTTTGGAAGAGAATGGCCCTGGTCAGCAAAACCGGGCTCACATCACCCATACAGAGGCCAGGCTCTGCTGTCAGGCTGTCGGGGGGGTGCATGCAGATTCTACTTTTTGTAGCTTGACGTCTTGGAAAAGCTAGTTAACTTTTCACCATAGTGTCCATCATAGGCCAGATGAGCTAATTTGTCTGAAGTCCTTAGGACTCAATCTGGAACCTCATCAGGAGACATGTTGGAAAATCTTCACCTGCTCAATGTGGACCCAAGGCTAGCAGGTGCCTGGACAATTTCATCTAATGACAGTCCTACAAGGCAAGCTCACACAGAGATGAACTCACTGAGGACACCAAGTTGCTCAATTCCTAGCTGCTGGTCCAGCCTTGATCTAGAAAGGTCAGTTACAAAGTTTTCAGTTTCAGGATTCCATTACAGGCAGATTCCTCCCTGCTCTATCCATTCTGTATCCATCCACTCCTCCATCCACCCACCCATCCACCCCTTACCCATCTATCCATCTATCCATCCATCCAATCACCCACCTACTCACCTATCCATCTATCCATTGGGCCACCCATTATCCATCCATTCATCTATTCATCCATCCATATATCCATCCATCCATCCATCCATCCACTCACGCACCTGTCCTCCTATTTATCCACCCCATTGGTCCACCCATTAGCTATCCATCCATCCACTCACCTACCTATCCACCTATCTATTCATCCATTGGTTCACCCATTATCCACCCATCAATCTATTCATCCATCTATAAATCATCCATCCACCCACCTCTGTACCCCCTCCTCCAGCCACCCACTCATCCATCCATGGATTCATCTAGCAATTTTCTTTTAGTCCTTCTACATTCTTGGTGTTGTGATTTGCACATAAACTGATGGTCACAATTCTACATCTATCCTCAGGAGGCTCCCTGTACAATGTGGCAACATCCAGTGCAGCACCTATAGGCAATAGAAGAAGTTAGTGGGTGGGAAGGTCAGGATGGGGCTGGCCAGTGAGACAAACATGGAGGAAGGGGCGCAGGTGCCGCTGGGAAG